ACTCAAAGAAACCACAGGAAAATGTTTTTATAATCTCACAGAGAGAAAAGGCTTTCTAAATATGAATGGCAAAAAAAAAAAAAAAAAAAAAAAAAACCGCTGGAAGCCATAAAAGAAACTATTGATGTATTTCATTAGATAAAAAAGAATGAAAAATTGGCTTGACCCAAAAAACCCTATAAATAAAGACAAAAAATTAACAACAAACATGGAGAGATATTTGCAACTTATATTACAGATGAAGGGCCAATTTCCTTACATACAGAGTTCCTAAAAATCAATTATAAAAATACTGGGGCGCCTGGTGGTTCAGTTGGTTAAGCATCTGACTTTGGCTCAGGTCATGGTCTCATGGTTTGTGAGTTCGAGCCCTGCATCAGGCTGCTATTGATGCAGAGCCTGCTTCAGATCTTCTCTCTCCCTCTCTCTCTCTGCCCCTCCCCTCTCATATGTGTTTTCTGTCAAAAATAAACTTTTTTAAAAAAAATCTAAAAAAAAAAAAAAACCAATAAGGTGTACAATTCAGTGGCTTTTAGTATATTCATATACAGTTGTACAACCATCACCACAATCAGTTTTAGAGTATTTTCATCATAGGGGCGCCTGGGTGGTGCAGTCGGTTAAGCGTCCGACTTCAACCAGGTCACGATCTCACGGTCTGTGAGTTCGAGCCCCGCGTCAGGCTCTGGGCTGATGGCTCAGAGCCTGGAGCCTGTTTCTGATTCTGTGTCTCCCTCTCTCTCTGCCCCTCCCCCGTTCATGCTCTGTCTCTCTCTGTCCCAAAAATAAATAAACGTTGAAAAAAAAAAATTTAAAAATAGAGTATTTTCATCACCAATTCCCCCCATTCCCCCACAAAACCCCATACCTAATTAGCAGTAACTCCAATTACTAATTACTTACTACTTTTCCCCCACCTACCCACTCCTAGCCCCAGGCAACCACTAATTTACTTTCTGTCTCTTTGGATTTGCCTATTCTGAGAATTTCATATAAATGGAATCATACAATATGTGGGCCTCTGTGTCTGGTTTCTTTCACTTAAAATAATATTTTCAAGGTTCATCCATTCTATAGTGTATATGCATGCCTCATTCCTTTTTATGACCAAATAATATTCCATTGTATGGATGTACCACATTTGTTTATCTACTCATCTATGGACAGATATCTGAGTTGTTTCTTCTTTTTGGCTATTATGAATAATGCTGCTATGAATATCTGCATTCAAGTTTTTGTGTGAACATAGGCTTTCATTTCTCTTGGGTACATGCCTAGGAGTGGAATGCTTGGTCATATGGTGATTCTTGGTGTAACTTTTTGAGGAACTTCTTGACTGTTTTCCAAAGTAGCTGCATCATTTTACATTCCCACCAGCAAGGTATGAATTATGGCTTCTCCACATTCTTGCCAACACTTGATATCATCTGTCTTTTTTATCATAAGCATCCTAATGGGTATGAAGTAGTATCTCATTGTGCTTTTGATTTATGTTTCTCTCATAACTAATGACGTAGAGCATCTTTTCACGTGCATATTGGTCATTTGTACAACTTCTTTGGAGAAATATTCATCTACATTGTGGTATGTATCAACACATTTGTTTCTTTTTATTGCTGAGTAGTATTCCATGATATGAATATAACACAGTTTAGTTTTTGTTCACCTGTTAATGGACAGGTAAATTATCTAGTGTTTGGCTACTATCAATAAAGCTTCTATGAACATTTGTCTACAAGTCTTTTTGTGCACATATCTTTTCCCAGCTTTATGGTGATATAATTGACATATAACATTGTAAGTTTGAGGTATACAAAGCGAATATATATATATACTGCAAAATGATCACCACAATAAGGTTAGTTAACACCTACATCACCTCACATAAGCACCTGGTTTTTTTGTGGGTTTGTTGTTGTTGTTGTTTTGGGTGGTGAAAACATTTGAGATTTGCTTTCTTAGCAACTTTCAAGTATATAATACAGTATTCATAAGTATAGTCATTATGCTATATGTTACATCCCCAGAATTTGTTGATCTTATAACTAGAAGTTTATACCCTTTGATCAATATCTCCCCATTTCTCCCACCCCACAGTTCCTGGCAGCCACCATTCTACTATTTCAATTAGTGTGTCTTTTTTAGATTCCATATATAATTTTTTTTATTTTAGAGAGAGTGAGTGTGAGTGGGGGAGAGGGGCAGAGAATGGGAGAGAGAGACAGAGAGACAGAGAGACAGAAAGAGAGAATCCCAAGGAGGCTCCATGCTCAATATTGAGCCTGATGCAAGGCCCAGTCCCACAACCTGAGAATCACCACCCGAACCAAAATCAAGAGTCAGATGCTCAACTGACTGAGCCACACAGGCACCCCTAAGGTTCCATATATAATTTGAGATCATATAGCATTTGTTTTCCTCTGTCTGACTTATTTCACTTAGCATAATGCCTTCAAGATCCATCCATGTTACTGCAGAAGGCAGGATTTCCTTCTCTTTTATGGCTGAATTGTATTCCACTATATACATATACCACATTTTTTTAATCCATTTGTACGTCAACACTTAGGTTGTTCCATGTCTTGACTATAGTGAAGAATGCTGAATGAACATGAGAGTGCAGATATGTCTTTGGGATAGTTATTTCATTTCCTACGGATATTATCCCCAGATATGAGGTTGCTGGATCATATGATAGGTCTATTTTTAACATTTTGAGAAGCTTCATACTGTTTCCCAGAATGGCTGTACCAATTTACATTCCCCTTAACACAAGCATCTTATGTATATGTTGGTCATTAATATGTCTTCTTTCGGAAAATGTCTATTCAGGTTCTCTGCCCATTTTTTAATTGGATTATTTGGGGGTTTTGCTATTGAGTTGTATGAGTTCCTTATGTATTTTGGATATTGATGACTTATCAGATATATGGTTTGCAAATCTTTTCTCTCATTCTGTAGTTACCTTTTCATTTTTCTGACTGTTTATTTTGCTGTGCAGAGGCTTTTGTATTTGATGCAGTCCCACTTACTTACTTTTTGCCTTTGTTGCTTGCACTGTGGTATCACATCCAAAAAATCATTGCCAAGACCAATGTCAAGGAGCTTTTCCCCTATGTTTTCTTCTACGAGTTTTACAGTTTTCAGATCTTCTATTTAAGTCTTTAATCCATTTCAAGTTAATTTTTGTGAGTGGTGTAAGATACAGGTCCAATTTCATTCTTTTGCATATGAATAGCTTGTTTTCCTGGCATTGGCACCATTTATTGAAGAGACTATCCTTTCCCCATTGAGCATTCTTGGCTCCCTTGTCAAAGTTTGTTCACTGTATATGTGTGGATTTATTTTTATGCTCTTGATTCTGTTCCATTGGTCTGTGTATCTGTTTTTGTGCCAGTACCATACTGTTTTGATTATATTAGCTTTGTAATATAGTTTGAAATCAGAAAGAATGATGCCTCCTGCTCTGCTTCTTTCTTAGGATTGATGTAGCTCTTCAGTGTCTTTTGTGGTTTCTTATGAATTTTAGGATTTTTTTCCACCGCTATGACATATGCCATTGGAATTTTGATAGGGATTACATTGAATCTATAGATAGCTTTGAGGAGTAGGAGCGTTTTAACGTTAATTCTTCCAATTCATGAACATGGATATCTTTGCATTTGTTTGTGTCTTCTTCAGTGTTTTTCATCAAAGTCTGAGTTCTCAGTGTACAGATTTTTCACCTCTTTGATTACATTTATTCCTAAGTATTTTATTGTTTTTGATACTATTGTAAATGGGATTGTCTTCTTTATTTCTTTTTCAGATAACTTGTTGTTAGTGTACAAAAAATGCAACTGATTTTTGTATGTTGATTTTGTGTCCTGCAACTTAACTGGATTGATTTTTTAGTTCTATCAGTTTTGGGATGGATTTTTTTTTTCTTTTTTTTTCTTTTTTTTTCTTTTTTTTTTTTTTTTTTTTTTTTTTTTTTTTTTTTTTTTTTTTTTAGAAAGAGAGAGAGCACACACGAGCTAGAGAGAAGGGCAGAGGAAGAGAGAGAGACAGAGACAGAGTCCCGGTCAGGCTCCACGCTCAGTGCAGAGCCTGACGAAGGGCTCAATCCCATGACCCTGGGATCATGACCTGAGCCAAAATCGAGTTGGATTCTCAACTGACTACACCACCCAGCTGTCCCTGGATGGATTTTTTAAAGATTTTCTACATAAAGTTATATCATCTACAGAGACAATTTTACTTCTTTTTAAAAAAAAATTTTTTTTAATGTTTATTTATCTTCCAGAGTGAGACAGAACACAGTGTGGGAGGGGCAGAGAGAGAGGGAGACACAGAATCTGAAGCAGCTCCAGGTTCTGAGCTGTCAGCACAGAGCCTGACATGGGGCTCGAACCCAGAAACCACGAGATCATGACCTGAGCTGAAGTCGGACACCTAGCTGACTGAGCCACCAGGCGCCCCTTACTTCTTCCTTTCCAATTTGGATGGCTTCCATTTCTTTTTTATTCCCTAATTTCTCTGGCTAGGACTTCCAGTACTATGTTGGCAAGGAGTGATCTTGTTCATGGTCTTAGAGGGAGAGCCTTTAGTCTTTCACTATTATGTTAGCTATGGGCCATAAATGGCTTTATTTTGTTGAAGTACATTGCTTCTATATCCAGTTTGTTCCGAGTTTTTTCATGAAAGGATGCTTAACTTCATGGACATATGTTTTTATTTCTCTTGGGTAAATATCTAAGGGATATTTGCTGGCAGACTTTTTCCAAAGTGATTGTACTGTTTTACATATCTACCAGCAATGTCTGAAAAATCCCAGTTGTTTCATATCCTTGCTAACATTTGGTGTTGTCAGTCTTCTTTTCCCCCCTAGCTTATTTATTGAGATATAATTTGTTGAGATATAATTGACAGATAACATTGTATAAGTTTAAAATATACAATGTGATGATTTGATATATGTATATGTTGTGAAATGATTATCACAATAAGGTTATTTTTTTTAAAATATGGAACACTTCACAAATTTGCATGCCATACTTGCACAGGGGCCATGCAAATCTCTGTATTGTCCCAATTTTAATATATGTGTTGCCAAAGCAAATACAGACTTTTCATTTTAGCCTTTCTAGTGAATATGAAGTGGTGTCTCATTGTGGTTTTAATTTGCATTTCCCTGATGATTACTGACACTGAACAGTTTTTTATTGCTTATTAGCCATTTTCTTTGTGAAGTGCCTCTTGAAATCTTTTGCTCAGTTTTGGGTGGGTTGTTTTAATTATTGTGTAGTAGGAGTTCCTTGTAACCAGTCTGGTTGTAAGTCAGATATGCTTATTGCAAATATTGCTACCATTCTTTGGCTTGTTTATTTCCTTAATGGTGCTCTCATTGAGCAGAAGTTTTTAAAGTCCACATTTGATCAATTTTTTCTTTTATGATTAATGACTTCTGGGTCCAGTGTTAAAAAAACCTTTGCTACCCTAAGTTTGTGACAGGATTACCCTTCATTTTCGTCTAAAAGCATCAGAAATCTAGCTTTTATGTTTGGTCTATAATCCATCTTGAATCAATTTTTGTGGGTGGTTTGAGGTTGAGGTCAAGATCCTTTTTTGTACCATCTGGATAGCTAGTTGTTTATTCCAACACTATTTGTTGAAAAGACTTCACTTTTCCCACTCAATTGTTTTGGTTCCTTTGTTAAAAAAAAAAAAAACAACAAAAAACAAAAACAATTGACTATATATGTGTGGGTGTGTTTCTAGATTTTCTATTCTGTTCTATTGATATATTTGTTAAACTTTAGTCTTGATTAGTTTAGCTTTATAATAAGGTAGTGTACACACCTCAACTTTGCCTTTTTCTAGATTATTTTGGTCATTAGAGGTCCCTTGCATTTCTATATAACTTTTAGAATAAACTTGTCAATTTCTGCAAAAAAAAAAAAAAAAAAAAAAAAAAAAAAAAAAAAAAGAAAAGTAAATAAAGTCTGACAAGAATTTGATTGAGATTTGAAGACTCTGTAGATCAATTCGGGGTGAATTGTCAACTTCACAGTATTGAATCTTCCAATCCATGGACATAGTACATTTTTCTTTAGCTCTTCTTACATTTCTTTCAGCAATGCATTACAGCATTTAATATACAGATCTTACATATTTTATTAAAGTTACTCCTAAATATTTTGTTTTGTTCTCCCATTATAAATAGTATTTTTTTAAGTTTATTTATTTATTTTGAGAAAGCAAGAGAGCACCAGTGACGGGAGGGGCAGAGAGAGAGGGAGAGAGAGAATCCCAAGTAGATTTCGCACTGTCAGTACAGAGCCTGATGCGGAGCTTGAACTCACAAACTGTGGGATCATGACCTGAGCTGAAATCAAGAGTCTGACGCTTAATCGACTGAGCCACCCAGGTGCCCCAATAGTATTATTTTTTAAAGTTATTTTCTTTACCGGTTTTCCATTTTAAGAATATAGAAATATAGGGGCACCTGGGTGGCTCAGTCAGTTAAGCATCTGACTCTTGATCTCAGCCAAGGTCTTGAGCTCAGGGTCATGAGTTCAAGCCCCGCACTGGGCTCTATGCTGAACATGAAGCCTACTTAAAAAAAAAAAAAAATTACATATATATAATTGCCTTTTGTACATTATATCCTGTGACTTTGGTAAATTCACTTATTAGTTCTCATAGTTTCTTTGTAGATTTCTTAGAATTATCTGCAGCAAAATCATGTCACATGCAAATAGAGGCAGTTTTGCTTCTTCCTTTACAATCTTGGTAAGGGTCTTTCTTTTTTCTTTCTTTATTGCACAGAGTAGGACCTCATTACAATATTAAATAGAAGTGGTAAGAGCAGATAACATTGATTTGGCCAGAAAGTTTTCAGTCTTTAGAATTAAATATGAGGTTTTTCGTGGATGCCCTTTAGTAGGTTAAGGAAATTTACTTTTATTCTTAGTTTGGTGAGAATTTTTATTGTGAATGGGTATTCAATTTTTTATTTTTCTGAATGTATTGAGTGACATATGATTTTTCCCCTTTCTGATGTTCATGTGGATAAATCCACCTTAGTCGTGATTTATTATCATTTTCACATATCATTGGATTTCTTTAACATTTTATTAATGACTTTCGCATCTATCCAATGAGGTATTTTAGGCTACGGTTTTCTTTTCTTGTAATATCCTGTCTGTTCTGAGTGTCAGGATTATTCTGACATTAAATCATTAATCATAAAAACATTGTGATTAAACTCATAAAATGCGTTTGGAAGTATTTCCTCCTATCTTTTCTGAAAGGGTTTATATAAGATTGGTAATTTTTTTTAAGTGTCTCTTTTTCTAAGAAGACTTGAACTTTTAAGTTAGGTTCAATCTGCTTCTTGTAAGCTCTTTTCCTAACATTTCTCATACATATAATTATTTGCTTAAATTCTACTTTTCTTGGGGCACCTGGGTGGCTAAGTCGGTTAAGCATCTGACTTTGGCTCACGTCATGATCTCGCGGTTCGTGAGTTCGAGTTCTGCATCAGGCTGTCTGCTGTCAGCAAAGACCCCGCTTTGGATCCTCTGTCCCCCTTTCTCTGTCCCTCCCCAGCTTGTGCTTAGACTGTAAATTCCAGGAAAGCATTTATCTATCTTGCTTACTCTATGTTCCTAGCATCTAGCCAAGTGCCTGGTTCACGGTATATATAAATGAATACTTACTGAATTGCATTACATTAAAGGGAAAGTAAGAGACTAGGAAAACTGAGAATTGTGGCAAAATACTGAAGACTATATAAAAAGTTTCCCTTTTAATTTTTTTATTTTAATTTTTTATTTGAGCATAATGGATGCACAATGTTACATTAGTTTCAGGTGTACAACAGAGCAATTCAACATCTCTGTATGTTTTGCTGTGCACACCACAAGTAGTTACCATCTGTCACCATACAAGTATTATAATAAAAGTGATTATATTTTATGATGTACCTTTTATTCCTATGATGTATTCATTCCATAACTGGAAGCCTATATTTCCTACTCCCCTTCACCCATTTTTCCCATATCCATACCTTCCTCCCCTCTGGCAGCTATCAATTTATTTTCTGTATTTATAGATCTGATTATGCCTTTTGTTTGTGTATTAATTTTTTTTTAGATTATACATATGAGTGAAATTACATGGTATTTGTCTTTCTCAGTCTGACTTACTTCACTTAGCACAATGCCCTCTAGGTCCATCTATGTTGTTACAAAAGGCAAGACCCCATCCTTTTTTATGGTTATATAATATTCCATCTCATATATATATATATATATATATAT